TGCAGTTGGACGGACTCCGTCGTACGGGTTCGATCGCAGCATGATGTGCATGGTGAGCCACGGTGGCGGCCATCGCGACCATGACTCCATACTACATTCACGCCATGGAGGAGTCCGAGAGAAGTGTCCATGCACGTGGTGGAATGGCATCTTGTCCAAGGCCCGCCCTCCACTGGGATGTTCGGGCAGCTCTCCTAAAACCTCATCGGCCGTGGGGGCAGGGAGCGCGACTGCAGGTGGTCGCGCAACGTCGGCCACGAGATTAGCACCAGCCGGGTCCAAGAACGGATCGGCGCAGTAGCTGTCCTGCTCCTCCTCCTCACCCTCCTCCTCCTCCTCCTCTTCCTCCTCCTCCTCCTCCCCCTCCCCCTCCCCCTCCCCCTCCCCCTCCCCCTTCCCCCTCCCCCTCCGAGAATCGAATCAGCCGAGTCCATGAACTACTGATCCTGGCCGGGTTTGGCTTTGATCGGAGTTCCGTTCCATATCGCATTCCACATGTCCATGTGGCCGTCGGCTACGGCCTGCGGGTGCGCGGTGATCTCGCCATGCCTTGAACTTTGATCGTTCGTCCAAGTGCGCAGCTTCGTCATGCTGAGCAGCGGCGTGGGCCCCGACGTTGGTGTGTCCCTTGCCCATGTGTGAAACTCGTCGAGGCGATGCTTGACTGCTGCACGTTCTTGCTGGTCCGCATGTCCGTGATACGCCTCTGCCGAGCCATCCAGACAAGCGTGTGCTATGGGTGGCGGTCACTGTGTAGCCAAGTGTATGATCGGCCAGGCCATGTCCAGCACTACAGCTCCATGCGGAGTGTGTGCGTCCTGTTTGTGACCTGGCCGCCGTAGCCGTCCGAGATGAGACCACCTCGAAGTAAGAGACGGGGCGAACGCAACCGAGCTCCTGCATGTTTGTTCCTGGCGATGTTTCTCGACACTGCGTGCAGCGCAAGATTCGGGCGAGAGGTGGTCAGGGTCAGAACCAACCACTGACACATCTGGCGGGCCTCCCGTGCCCGCGGGCACAGCAGGGGTGCCCCAATCCCCGTGTCGAAGTAGACCCTGGCATCGCTCGGACGTGTGTATTTTTTTCCCTGCGGGGACCCTGGAGGAGCATCCTGGACCATCGAGCAGACAAAAACGCGCACGAAACCAAGCAATGCACGGGAAATGGACGTCCGAGCGACGGCAAGCGACGCGGCCCAGCGCATCCACCATCATGCCCATCCGCGCGCGGCGTCTTCTGCCGTCCCTCCGGCGATGTCCCCCCGACCAGATCCCTCGCGCTGGGGCTGGGGCGGCACCCCCCAGTCACGCGAGGCGGGTTCCGTCAGCCGAGGATCAGGAGGGGGAAAAACACACAGACACAATTAATCCTCGATTCCCCAGAAAATATAAGAAAATATGGGAAGTGTGGGGGGAAGACAGAAACCCAGAAAATATGGGAAAATATTTTGTGTGTCCTGGGGCCCCTTCAGAGGAGTATCCCCTTTCGCTGGGGCAATGGGAGCGCCTGTCGACAAGGAAGCCGATTCCGTGCTTGCCATCGTCGGGCCTGTCGCAGCGGTGGCAGAGATCGTCGAGCAATGCCCTCGCCTTCGATCTCCCGGACCAAACACTGAATCTCCCTGAGGCCGCTTGAGCCTCTCTCTGCATCTGGAGAGCGGTGTCCTGGATTGCAGTGGCCACGGCGCGACATTACCGAGCCTCGCTTCCAGCCGCAGAATGTGGTCTACGCTTGGGCCCTCCAGCATGCCTCCATATGTACTTGGCACCATCCGCTCGGCCTCTGTACTCGTCAGAATGTTCGAGCTGATCTATGCGCGCCAAGTCCTGCTCGGCGTTGGTGAAGAGGAAAGTGTACACCATGTCGAGCCTGTGCTGTGCCGGCTCTGCGTCTGTGGACGTCCCGAGCTTCGCGTCATTCTCCAGCGTATCGAGGCAGGGCAGCTCTGGAGGCGGCCCCTAGAGCGGATGGCAGACCGCGGGATAGCCTTCGGCGTGCGAATGGTGAGCTGCTTCAGTTTCCTGGGATGAGCGTCGAGATCGAATCGCACCGGGTTGTGGGGTGAGCGGGCCATGCATCCAAGGTCCGCGGGCTCCGACAGCTTGTGTGAATATCAGTTGATATGAGCCAGTAGTCAATTATGTAATCTCGTCTAGCCGCTGATCTACATGTCCCCTCTCCTTTGCATTGCAAGGCAATGCCTGGTATCATGTCGGCGAAGCCGTTGGTGATGAAACTTTTCGCCGACTGGTTGCAAGCTCCTGCCACGAAGAATGGCAGCCCGAAGAAACGCAGTTGCTCAGGTGGAATATACGGTGCCCAGCCTTGTGAGATGGCCCAGCACCTGGCTCTCTCGAGTTGTTCTCCGTCCAGTCTAAGTTCTTGCGCCGCTATAATATTGACATCCCCTGCCCCTTGCCACGACGTCCAGCATGACCCAGTGAAAGTGACGAACCCGATTGCTTTGCGGCGAGAGCCTCTGAGGCCCCCGTGTCTACAATGACCCTGCCGACTCCCACGCCGTTGCTGCGCCGTCACTGGAGGGAGGAAACGCAGCTGCCTGCGTGGGCGGCGGCTGCTGTTGTTGTGGTTCAGCGGCTTGAGCGGGAGCTGTGGAGGCCATGCCGAGGTTGCGAGCCAGCGTGTCCATGAAGTGCGTAGCCACGGCCTCATTGTCACTCTCGTTCTCAACTGCTGCTGCGCCTGTGCGAAGAACTGTGCCATGGCCGCGTTCGGCTGCTGTGGTCCTGAGCCCTTGCTTGCCGCCGTCGCTGCCGCGGCGACTGTCGCCTGAGCTTGTCCCACTTCTGCTTTGATGGTCGCGACCTCGCTCTCGAGAGCTGCCAGGCGTCTCTTGGCGTCGTGGAGCGTGGCCTCGAGCTCGGTGACGTTCTTATGCTACTGCTCCCTCTCGAACTCCTTGGCGGCGTAGCGATCTTTGGCGCTGCGCAGGAGGTTGTCTGGGGCCAACGTGGCCCTTGCTTTGCCTCTGCCTTTGCCAGCTCTGTGCGGGCGAGCTGTGCCATGCTGTGCTCCTCGCCGTAGAGGCGGCGTAGCTGGGCAATGGCCTCCTTGCACTTGGTAACTTCTTATGCCGCTGTGCCACTCTTGGTTCCTTCATCCATGGGGTCATCATGCCAGAGAGGAGGGCGGCCAGCAGCATCATCACGAGAACGCGAAGGCTGACGACTGCGTCGGCGCCACCGGAGCTGGCGGCCCTTGTCCTGAGTCGGGCGACCGTCTCGATCCCGTCCGCACGACCCACGTGTCGAGCTGGATGGGTGCTACGTCTTGTGCCCGCTCGCCCCTGTCGCCCTTGCAGGGCCAGGCCTCTGTCGCCTTGGCCCTCCACGAGGCCCCCTGCTGGGTGACCTACTTCGTGCCCAGCAGGGAGGCGGCGGGCCTCCGCCTCTGCCAGGACCTGGCGAGCGCTGGCCTGCCGCCGCCGCAGCCGCCCGTGCCAGGCGGGGGAGGGATCGCGGCGCGCGGCGATCCCTCCCGCGCCTCCGCCCTGGGCAGGGCAGGAGGCCGAGGTCTCGCGGACTCGGGCCGCCCCAGCAGCCCGAGCGCGAAACGCCCAGAGGCGGAAGAGGAGGAGGAGGAGGAGGAGGAGGACGGAGGGAGGGAGATGGGGAGGAGGGAGGAGGAGGTTTATGATGAGGAGGAGGAGGAGGAGGAGTAGGAGGAGGAGGCGGAGGAGCAGGAGGAGGAGGAGGAGAGGAGGAGGAGGAGGAGGAGAGGAGGAGGAGGAGGATGTGGAGGATGAGGAACATGTGGGGGAGGAGGGGAGGAGGGGGAGGGGGAGGAGGGAGGAGGAAGAGGAGGAGGAGGAGGAGGAGGAGGAGGAGGAGGAGGAGAGAGGAGGAGGAGGAGGAGGAGGAGGAGGAGGAGGAGGAGGAGGAGGAGGGGGAGGAGGCGTGATCAGATGACGAGAAGGAAATGGCGTTTCCCGAGGAGCTGGGAGATGAGTTCATCATGTACGGTCAGTTCTATGCGCCGTGCTCGGGGCTATCAACATCGCACCCTCCATCCAGCATATGATGACGAGTGCCTGAACCGATTTCAGAGGAAAGTGGGTGCCTTTCTTCAGGGTTTTGTCTTCTAAAGCCCGCTTGGGGAAGGACGCCCCCCTTCGGTGAGGCATTTCTCCCACTCTTCCATCTTGCCTCCTCTCTCCGTCCCTCTGGTCCACTCGCCTGCTTCGTCTCCCATCCTGCCTCCATCCCCCCTCCCTTTTTCTCCCCCCCTCTCCCTCCGTACCTTCCCCGTCCAGCCCTGGTGCTCGCTGCAGTCGTTGTCTGGTCTGGATTTGAGACCAAGTACGTGGGCGATTGCTGTGGGCTTGCAGCCAGTGCCTGTTTGGTAATCCTCGGTCTTCAGGTTCAGCGCGGTGTACTGGATCATCAAGAGGACCCAGCGTTTGCACGGGGAGGCAGGGGGGATATTGTGCATAGCGGGGGCAGGCTGAGAAAGAGGATGAGGAAGCATAGGAACATGCAAATCAATGAAACGGAGGAAGAGGAGGAAGAGGAGGAGGAGGGGGAGGAGGAGGCGGAGGAGGAGGAGGAGGAGGAGGAGGAGGAGGAGGAGTAGGAGGAGTAGGAGGAGCTTTTCTGTTCAGAACTCGCGCGCGTTCGCTTTCTTTTAAGAGGACGAATCGGAGGGTTGACAAGGAAGAAGTCGAGGAGTGGGGAGGAATGATGACAGTGGAGGCCCCTTCATCCACCATTACCAGAAGTTCATAGTTTTGAGTTGCAACGTACAGCTCATTCAAGCCCTTCCCCAATTCAATCCATCCTCCCATCCCCCCCTGCACTCCTTTCTTCCCAATATCCCCTGTTCCCCTCTCCCCATTCCCTGTCAACCTTTCTGCCTCCCTCTACATATCAAGCGCTTCCCATGTCCATGTGCTTGCATCTCTCCCTTCCTTCTGGTTGCCTGACCGCAGCTACCTGGCTGACTCAGGCCGGAGTGGCAGAACATTTTTTTCTTCAAGAGTGCGTTCGATTAGCGGTAGCATCCACTACAGTTTCAGACCGCATCCCTCGTGATCTTGCTACGGAAGGAGCCGGACAGCGAGGGCCCCCTGAAATGCTGAGGGATTCACGGGAGGAGGGATGGTGAAGAGGAGGAGGCATGGGGAGGAGGAGGAGGAGGAGGAGGAGGAGGAGGAGGAGGAGGAGGAGGAGAGAGGAGGAGGAGGAGGAAGAGGCGGTGGAGGAGGAGGAGCAGGAGGGAGGGACAAAGGGAGGCTTGGAGGAGGGAGGGGGAGGGAGGAGGAGGAGGAGGAAGGAGGAGGAGGAGAAGGAGGAATCTGAGGAGGAGGGAGGAGGAGGAGAGGAGGAGGAGGAGGAGGAGGAGGAGGAGGAGGAAGAGGAGGGACCCCAAAAACCGTCTACGGAGGCCCAGCAATCCTTGTGAAATGCGGCGGCATGCAATCTAGTCCTCCTCATCCCCTCCTTCCTCCTCCTCCTCCTCCTCCTCCTCCTCCTCCTCCTCCTCCTCCTCCACCTTCTCTTCCTCCTCCTGCGCCGCTGCTCCTCCGCACCTGGCACATTCCCAGCGATGGACGGCACTAGTGGGGCCCTTCGCTTTCTGGCTCTGGTACGTTCTACGGCCGCCGCTCATGTTGCCCTCGGGATCGGTCCTCCCCTCAATTCTCCTCCTCCTCTTCCGGACCCGTGTAATCTTTCATCGTCGGCACCCGTGGTGTGAGAATTCGGTGTACGTTAGGCTTGATCGTAACTTTCGTGCCGCGTTCAGATTCCTAATGCCCCCTCCACAAGCATTTCAAACGTTCTGATTTGGCAGCGTCTCTTTTTTGTTGGCCTGGCTTGCCCTCCCTCCTATGCCCCTTAGAGGAGCGGGTCCACCGTGGCCCTCCTTATCGAATTCCTCCTCCTCCTCCTCCGCCTCTTCCTCCTCCAACCCTCCTTTCTCCGTCTCCCTCCTCCCTCCATCTTCATGTTGTTCAGTTTTGCGCGGTCAGTGAGCAAATATCCGTTGAGTCCGCGACGCTGGGGAAGCACGTCCTTCATTACAGCACGCCCTCGTCCCTCTTCCTCCCTCCTCCCTTCCTCCTCCTCCCTCCGCCCTCCCTCCTTTCCTCCCTTCTCTCTGCTCTCTCCCTCTCTCTTTCCTCTCCCCCCGCCTCCCTTCCCCCTCCCTCGCTCCTTTCCCTCCTCCTTCCTCCCTCCCTCCCTTCCTCCCTCTCAAGGCTTGGGTTCGAATTATGTTGGCGGAGCTCATTTCTCTGTGCCTTACCGCGGCACTCGAGAGACTTTGTCAGGAGACCCCGCCGAGGAACCCCTTGGGCACAGATCAAAGCATAGGATAATTCATCGTACTTCTATTTCCTTCCAAGATGGCAGGCGCGCGCTTCTGAAGCAGATGCAGGCAGTACAAGTCGTGCAAACACGATGACCTCTTGGCCGTGCAAACATATGCCTGCTCGACATGTGGTGCAATCGTCAAGTTGTTCAAACCACCGTGTGGCAAGCAGGTAACTTTCGAGTGTGACGAGGAGGCCCCGCTCGTGCACCCGAAGGGGATCCTCCGTTCGCACAGTGCCTCACCCGATGGTGGAATCAGAGCAGGGCGGGGCGTTGGCGAGGGTGGCATGGGGCGACGCAGCCCAGGGCGGAGAGGGCCAGCAGCAGTAGGGCGGGGACAGCGAGCTGTCTCTCTTGCAGCGAGCGGCCGCCGCCACCGCAGATGAGCAGCTGAAGGTGAGTCTACAAACCCGGGCTCTCGAGTTGGAGGGGGAGGCCAACATCTCGAGCAAAGGGTCCGTCTCGTTGGTCGAGGCCCTGAAGAGGTCCGATGGCTAGCACAGGGGCGCAAACAACAAACATCACCAAGAGGTGCATCATGTGCTTCGTTTCAGAAAGTCGCTCCAGGACGCGGAGGCAACGGATGCTGAGACTGCGGCCACCTTTGCCGGAACTCATTCTGCGCGGCGGCAGGCAGCACTCGCAGTGGCACATGCAGAGGGCGTGGCAGGCTCATAGGAAGATGCGTCCAAGAGCGGCGAGAGGAAGCAACAAATCTTCAAGGTAGTCTGGGACGCGTTTTTGTTCGCCAAGCTGGGCGATCTGGAGAGCGAGGAAAACGATCGCACGGAGATCAAGGAGATTCACGATCGACTTTTGGCGACTGACCAGGAGATGTCTGCCAAGGAAAACGAGGTGTGCGATTGGCTCGAGCGCATAGAGAAGTACCGTCAGGAGGTCACCGATCGCATGAAAAAGCAGCGCCGCTCAGGAGATGGTGCAGGAATTCGGGCTGATGACGGGGCTGGTGCTGCAGGTGGTGGCTAGAGCGCTCAAGGGGCAGCGCAGGCTACGGCGTCGACAACGGCTTCAGCGGGGTCTGAAGGGTCTGCAGCCGAAGCGGCGGCGACTGCAGCAGGCAGCTCCACAGATCCATCGGCCGAGGAGATTGTGGCTGCGGCGACGAGGTTCTTGGAGGCCAAGTTTCAGTCAGAGGAGTTGGCATGGCAGCGACGTGGACGGGCAAGGGCAATGGCAGCGACCCGAACACTCCAGCATTTCCAGTCTCCACATCTACACTGGCTGCGACATCGTTGTGATTATGTTCTGAGGCGGATCCTAAGGCTCAGGCAAAGCAGCCTGATCTAGATGGGGAGAATGGCGCGTCGCGCCCATACTATTCTCATGCCTCATGCATGGGGGAGAAGGTTTGGTCTTGGATTTGTGAGTCGCATCTCGACTTCTACGCGCTGGTCGAGACCCGCGTCCGCAGGGAGGCTAGCCTTCGCAATAAGAAAACGATGTGCCGAAGCAGCGGGCTCTGCCAGCGCCAGCATACTTCAGCTCGCGGAATGCAAGCAGAGCGTGCTAACGAGGAAGGTGTATTGCATCTTGTTCGTCAGCACCTTCAGTGTCATCGGCTTGCTACAGTCCAATCGGCAGGGCCAAGAGTGCGCGCGCCTTCCAGTCAGGCGCTCGACGGGGTTGCAGTCGCGGCCGCGCAATGTCGAGGTTTCGCGATGGTCTTCGCCGTCTTCTACGCCCACTCCAGCACGGGATCCAATGTGGCCAACATCGGACGCATCATGAGGCCGTCTGGCCACCTCCTCGCGCTGCAGTTGCCGCGACTGTCATGGGTGACTCCATCATGAGCCCCCGAGCGTTCGCAACGCACTGGCGTTGTAGAAAAGCTCGGAGGAACACTGATCACACCAGACACTGATCACACCAGACACTGATCACACCAGAAAAGGTGAGACTGTTGCGGTCAATGCTGGACGCGATGGCCGCTGGTGCTTTTGCCCCTGAGGAAAGGAGCCGCCATCGTCCATAGTCCGTCCCCCTTCTGCTGCTGATGTCTCTTTTTTCTTCCTCCACCCATTGTCTGGGCGATAATGGGCGGAACTGCGCCTTCTCTGGAATATCAGCTGTTAAGCATCGTCTCGCTGAGTGGCGCGCGTCCCCGTGTCCCGTGTTTACACATGGTGAATTATGATTGCGCGATGTTTCGCACCCCTCCAGTCGCAAAGTTTCACGTCGCTTGTGGGTGGGTTCGCGAATATCACAAGCTGCAGCTTCCTAGTGATATTCGTTTGTTGTGCTGTATAGGCTGCGGGTGTTATGCTAGTGCTCAAACGCGTGGTTTGGGCAGTTTTGCACTTTATGATCACCTCGCAAAGGCAGATGATCTTGATGGAATGCTCACAGGTAGGTGGCCTAAGGCCTAAGGTCTTACGTGTCAGCGAAAACCGTCTGTCTGCGTGGCTGTACTTCGCACGTGTAGGAAAACCATGGTTTAGTAAGACACCTGTTTGCAATCATACTCGTACTCATACTCCTTCCCTTCCTCTTCCGTCCCTTTCTTTCCCTCCCCCCTCTCCGTTCTTCCCTTCCTCCACCCCTTCCTCCTCTCCCTCCCCTTCACTCCCTCCCTCCCGTCCTCGTTTTCCTCCTCTTCCCTCTGTCGGTCCTGCGACGGGCCGCCGCGTGGCACGACCAGTGGGCGCAGCCGGTGGCACAGCCCAGGGCGACCGAAGACATGCCTGTGCGCCTGCTGCCTTCCCCGCCCCCCCTCCTGGGGGGGAGGAAATGGAGGAGGACTACAGGATGAGTAGGAGGCGGGAGAGGAGGATGAGGAGGAGGATGATGATGAGGAGGAGGAGGAGGCGGAGGAGGATAAAGAGAAGGCGGAGGAGTGCCGAATTCATTCCTTCCCAGTTCTCCTCGCCCCATCGTCCCTCCCCCCTCAGGTGGGCGCGGCAGACCGCTGCGCCATCTGGGCGGGGCGCGCGGATCACGCCCTGGGCCAGCTCGGCCCCGCGTACGTGGTTCCCGGGGAGCCACGGTGAGGACGAGGAGCAGGAGGCGGAGGCGCAGGCGGAGGAGGAGGAGGAGGAGCAGAAGGAAGAGAAGAGGAGGAACAGGAGAAGGGGGAGGAGGAGGATCGAGGATCGGGGATGAGGATCGAGGACAGGGTTTTGGATTTTTCCAGAGAGGGCACCGGCCCAGGTCTCTCTTTTACTTCGTTGTGCCAGCCCCTCGTCTCAAGGAGGCTGGCGGACATCTTCTTCGATCAATAGCCAGGTAAAAGGGGCCAGCGGATTGTTTGTTGAGGATGCCTCAAGCGAAACGCGTTTTTCGGGGGAATCCCGCTCGATAAGTAACTCGGTGCATTATGAATTGCCGTTTGTCGAGGATGTCTGGGGCGAAACATTTGTTCTGAATGAACTGATGCGGATTTCCTCCCACCACCTCCTGCTCAGTCCCAAGCATGCTGCCCTCAGTGTCTTGAGGGGGCTGATCATCTCGCGCCTGCTCTCGCTGCCATTCGTTTTCCCTACGGTAGCGTGCAGCTGCATGTCACAGCTTCTTAATATCATACCAGGTCGCTTCACCGAAGCTGGCTTTCTACATAGACGCAACGATCGTTCGATCCATGTTTGGACAAGGGAGAAGGGAAGGCGTATGATGATTGATGGTGATGATGCAGGTGGTGATGACTATAACGATGACGATGATGATGACAATGATGACGATGCCGATGACGATGACAATGACGACGACAATGACGATCAACGACGATGACGATGACGATGATGGTGATGATGATGATGTTGATGATGGTGATGATGCTGATCCTGATGCTGATGATGGTGATGCTGATGACGATGGTGGTGATTGTGACGTGGATGATGATGATGATGAGGATGAGGATGAGGACGACGACGACGGTGACGACTACGATAATGATGATGATGATGCTGATCATGATGAAGATGACGATACTGATACTTCTGATGATGATGGCAATTCCGATTATGCTGATGGTGATGATGATGTTGACGATGCTGATGACGATGACGATGATGATGCTGATGGTGATGATGATGATTCTGACGATGCTGATGATGATGATGATGATGATCATGATGATGATTCCGATTATGCTGATGGTGATAATGATGATGATGATGATGATGATGATGATGATGATGATGATGATGATAATGATGACGATGGCGATGGCGATGATGTTGATGATGATGATGATGGTGATGCTGATGATGATGAGGATGAGGATGAGGATACGGATAAGGATGATGATGATGCTGGTGATGCTGATGATGATGCTGGTGATGCTGATGATGATGAATAAGAATATGATGATGATGATGCTGATGCTGCTGATGATGATGCTGGTGATGGTGATGATGATCCTGATGCTGAGGATGATGATGATGCTGCTGCTGATGATGATGCTACTGATGATGATCCTGATGCTGATGATGACGATGATGATGATGACGATTATGATACTGCTGATGATGCTAATTATGATTATTATGATGATGATGCTGATGATGATGATGAGGATGAGGATGAGGATGAGGACGATGATGCTGATGGCGATGATGATGCTGATGATGATGGTGATGCTGATGATGCTGCTGCTGATGATGATGATGATGATGATGATGATGGTGTTGATGATGATGATGATGATGATGATGCTGCTGATGCTGATGCTGATGCTGATGCTGCTGATGATGCTGATGATGCTGATGATGATGATGATGATGATGATGATGATGATGATGATGATGATGATGATGATGATGATGATGATGATGATGATGATGATGATGATGATGATGATGAGATGATGATGGCTGATGATGATGTGATGCTGATGATGATGATGATGGTGATGGTGATGGTGATGGTGAGGGTGATGGTGATGGTGATGGTGATGGTGATTGAGAGGAGGAGGAGGAGGAGTAGGAGGAGGAGGAGGAGGAGAGGAGGAGGAGGAGGAGCAGGAGGAGGAGGAGGAGGAGGAGGAGGAGGAGGAGGAGGAGGTTGCTTTGGACGATGGCGGGGAGGAGGCGGAGGAGGAGGAGGAGGAGGAGGAGGAGGAGGAGGAGGAGGAGGAGGAGGAGGAGGAGAAGGGGAGGGTGGAGCAGAAGAGTTGGAGGGGAATGTGCATGGGTAGGAGGCGGAGGAGAGAAACTTGATAAGAGGGTCGGTAGGGAGGGACGACGGAGGGTGAGGAGCAGGCGCCGACGCAGACCCCGACGCCGCTGCCGGCGATCGACGTCGTTTCGCCTGAAGAGGTCTGGGTCTCCAGAGGTCCGCGGAGTTCTCCGTTGGTCCTGGGGGTTCCTTGCATGGGTCCCGAGGGCCAGATCTAACTTTAACCCTCGCGCTTCGAACCTCGCTCCTCAGGGGCCTCGGCGGAATAGGGAAAGAGAGGGTACGAGAGAAATCTGATGCATGCAGCTAGTTTCGGCCCGCCGCCGAGCGCCTTCCTAGCTACACAGGGGAGGCGCTGGGTAAAGCAGCTGCACGCAGCTGGTTCGTTACGGTCGGGAACTTTTGGATATGGTGTCGCTCTGCCAGTTCTGGCCCACCCCGCTACGTCGCGACACGCTATCCACTTCCTGGCCCCCCCAGCGTCAACGTCCCGAGCCTTGTCGAGCCCCCCGCCTCGCGGAGCGGAGCGACACGCAATCCGCTTGCAGGGCTACACGGAGCGGAGCAACACGCGGCGGCGACAGGCTAAGCAAACGCTCCCGACCGTAACCTCCTTTGCAGCGGCTGACGGGGCTACGAGCCGTGAGCCACCCCGTTCGCAAGCTGCGGAGGCCCAGCATGGGCAAGCAGTCTCGTAGCTTTCAACCCTCGAGCCTCGATCCTCGAGGGGTTCGGCGGACGACGACGACGACGAGGACGACGACGACGACGAGGACGACGACGAGGACGACGGATGACGGACCACGGACGACGGACGACGGACGACGATGACGACGACGATGACGATGACGGCGACGACGACGACTGACGGCGACGACGACGACGACCGATGGGGCGAGGCCTGCGGTCGCCTCGAGACCGACGGGGCGAGGCCAGGATGTCGACGGCGGAAGACGACCGACGGCGGCGGAAGAAGACACGACGGCGGCGCGGCCGAGGAGCCGGCAGTCGCCCCGCTTGCCCGCGACGGGTCCGCTGGGCGGCGCCATGCCTCGCCGCGGCTGCAGGCCTCGCCCAGGTCGGTCGATTGGTCGGTCGGTCGGTCGTCGTCGTCCCTGGATTTTCACGTACCGAACAACGTGCGGAGTTGTTTTTTGTTGCTGCATGCTTCTTTGCCGGCCATGGCCAAGCATGTCACTCATCATGCACCCCTCATGTGCCATCGCTTCCACCAGCTTCGGAGCTTCGTCGTCCTTATATTCTTCCACGGGAAACTCGTAGTCCAGGAGGTTAAGAATATCCAGGTCTTGCTTTTAGAAATAACCCTTCAAGTGAGCAGGATGGGCCAGCAGCGTGGTGAGCATTTAGGAAGACGACAGCGGGGTCAGGAGCCAAGAACCATCCTGGGCCTCAAAACCTCCACGAAGCTGCCCTAGGAGGAGGAGGAGGAGGAGGAGGAGGAGGAGGAGGAGGAGGAGGAGGAGGAGGAGGAAAGGACCGTAACCATTTTGGCTTAAGTCCGTAGTGTTTCGGCACAGGACCTGACCTCTTGGCAGAGGGGAGGAACGGCCCCTGCAGCATCCCTCCTTTGCCAGGTCCGACGAGGTGTTTTCAGTTTCAGCATAGCTCTTCGGAGCTCGGGAACCACGACCGTGCCAGGACCTTTCCTGGCCTGCAGCCCATGGCGCCACTTTCTTCTCTTGCTAAGCCTCGTGCGGCTTGGCGTTGTGGTTCCTGCCTTTCGATCGTGGAGGCAGTCCCAGCACCTGGCCGGCGCGTTTTCTTTCAAAGCGTAAGGCGAGGTTGACGGAGCAGCCCAACATATCTCCCCCCTTTTTCAGAGGCAGCAGTGAAGCGCAGGTCAGTGGCAGGCAGAGACTTACTGACATGTGTGGGCGCTGGGGAGATAAGTCAACTGCATATGCCTATCGTGCTAAGCTTCCACAAGGTGCGAAGGCACCACGTGAAGCCCAGCAGAGGGCCAACGAGGCAAACAGGATGCTCAAACAGCTTGGGTCGAAGTTACAGAAGATGGTGGATCAATGCGACAGAGCCCAGGATGTTTTTGCGTTGCAAGCCGCCCAGATCCAGGAAGGCCTCCACCGAGTTGAGAAGCAAGAACAATGCTATCGACATGCGGTTCAGTAGGTGCATTCAGCTGTCACTGGCCAGGCCCAACCAACCCAAGCTCCCAACAAAGTCGGCCAATCTGCGACCATGGATGGCAAAGTGGAGCTACGATTGGACCCCAACGAGATGCTCGGGCTCAGCGAGTTGATGGATGTCACGAGTGAGAACAAGGATGAGGCGGCACAAAGGGTCAAACCACTTCAAGATGAGTTGCGTCCAGCTACGGAGCAGATTTCTGGCAAGATCAAGTCGCAAGCTGAGGATCTCCGTAAAGAGCTTGACGCCCAGAAGTCTAGGCTACTTTCTGAGAAGCGTCGCGGAGAGGGTGGTAATGCAGTGGGCAAGTCCCAATCTATGCCGCCGGCAGCGAACAGTTTCTCTTCTTCGATTTCCTGGAAAAGATGATCAAACATACATTCTCTGGCTCGAGGCAAAGGATATTGCCCGCAAAACTGCCGAATCAGCCACTGCGAAGCAAGACGCGCCTCCCTTTGCGAATGGCCCAGACATCAATCATGGGTAGCACGACTCCACCGATTACGTTCACAAGGCTGCCATCCTACCCTGAAGCTGAGAAAGTTGAGTCGGTGCGGCAGATGAAACCTGGCGCAGACTTGCGGCCTTCCAGGGCAGCGGCGAGGGGGCCTGCCAGGCCGAGTCGCCGGAGGGAGGGGTGAGTTCTGTACTTCCCATTTGTCAAGCACAAAGGTTGCGGGTCCACGCAGAGAGGGGCTCAACGGTATCACGATCAATGGCCCGAGCTGGACCGCAGTGGCGACCGCGATGGATTCCCTCAGCCGCGCAGGTGTTATCATGGTACAAGAGCATCGGCTCAACGCACCGCGTCTCGCTAATGTAATGGTTACTCTACGGAAAGCTGGATGGCGTTACTCTGACGGTCCTTGCCCCATCACGGACAATGGAAGGGCGTCGGCTGGAGCCCTTGCCCTTTTCAAACACTACCTTAATTATTGGGCTCCTGATACTGGTGTCAGAGGTCGCCTTGCAAGGTGCTTTGTTCGACTCGAGAACCTCGGGGAAACGATGTTCGTGAGGCGCTGACTGTATGTTGGGGAAGGGTTGACGCCTCGAAACGTCGAAATCATAGAAGACGCTGGCGATGAGATCCTGCAGGTTCAATTCCCGCGTGTGGTCGGCGGAGATTAAGACAATTCCCCAGGGAGGGTCGCTGCCGCGATCCCATTAACCGAGTTGCGAGGTATTGCCCGCGCTGGCAACGAGATTCCTTCGTGTGAATTGGATGGGCATGCGCCAGCAATTCATTTCTTTTCGGCTGGCTGCTTGACCAACTGCTTGCTGTCAATGTTCTAGATGAGGTGCTTGCGGTGCCGCGTCGTCCAGTCTGTCTCGAGCTTGCAGGTGCAGGGCATGAACAGATATCAGTTGCTGGCAAATTCCAGGATGTCCAGACTCAGGGAGTTGCGGGGCCACTGCTGCCCGCGCCTTGCTGCGGCGACATGCTCCAGCAGGTTGATGACTTCCTGGCCCCGCTGGGAGGGGCAGTTGCCAATTTCGCTTTCCGGAGGGGCGTTCGTGCATGAGCGGAGCAGCTCCTGGGCCAGGCGTGCGATGACTGGAACGACGGGGCATGGGCAGAAGTTCGCCATGCTGCTCGGCGCGAAGGGCCAGGCCCCTCTGCGGGCCCTAAGTTCCAGTGGGGGCAGGTGCCGTTGAGACGGGCCCTGAGAACTACGACGTGCAAGCGAGTGGACCCCCAGAGGGCCCTGAACTGGGCGGCCCAAAGGGTTGCCCAAGTGAAGGCGTTGTTTTTGTAAGGTTTTACAGTCGAGAGCCATGCTGACCTCGCTAACATGGCGGTTCCGGTGTTGCGGATTTAGGTCCGAGGGGGCCCGTTCCGCCGGGTTTGGTCTAGCGGGGGCAGTTTTTGGCATCCCACGTTGTTTTTTGTAGGCGCCCTTGTCCAAATGCCCGACCCTCGCGCGGGGAGGGTTCTAGAACTTGTTCTTCATTGAGCTTGCCCAGTTTATGCATGACAGGATCCATTGCTCGGCTGCTCAGATTCGACGTGAAGAATGGAAGGGCTGGCGCGCTGAGGCGATGGGGCAAGGAGCTCGCAAAGCACGCGGGTTTTTTTTCGGTGCAGCCCTGCGCCCGTTGATGTCGCGACTCCTGGGCCCCCGGGGGAAGCGATTGAGCGCGCGTCGCTCGCCGCTAGGATGCAGAGAGAAGCGCCGAAGTGGACGAAAACCTGGGGGGCGGAAAATTGTCCTGCCCCTGGCGGCGCGGCCGCTCCCTGTTCTTCTCAGGGGAGCGGCTTTCCCGCAAGTTCTCTAGGGTCTATGAGGAGAAGATTTGGAGAGAATGCGCGTGTGCCCGACGGGTGGCACCCACGGCGCTGCTGCCTTTTATCGGGCGCGGTCTTTGAATTATTGGGCAAACTGTTTCATGTGCTTGACCTGCCCCGCAGAAACTCCGACCCTCAGTGATTCTGCGCGCGCGCAAGCCAGCGGGGGGCCGCCGACCCCTTGGCGATCATCCATTCGGCGTTCCGCCTGCGCGGCAAAGTGCGCAAGGAGGAGTGTCGCAGTTGGGGGTCGGGGGGGGGGGGGGGGCGGTGCCTGAATGCTCGCGCGCCCAGCGCCGAGGCCCCGCGGATGCGGTCTGGAGGCAGGCTGCGTTTGCAGAGGGAGCTGGCCGCAACATGTCACACTATGTAGCGGCAGTGTGGGACCTCACGCAGCTCTATGAGCATGTCCCCCTACTGCATGCTGCCCCAGAGTGCCAGCACCTATAGCTGCCCAATGGTCAGCCTGCGCGTTCGTATCAACGGTTCTAAGTGGGCCAGGCACATTTTGCATGATGGGGCCCTGCATGAGGGGGTGTACCCCAGACGAGGATTGTGACAGGATTGCCCCATCCACTTTTGAAGCTAAGCTAGCGCTGAAGCTAGCTGTTGATGAATACTCTGCTTCTTTGCCTCAGGGTGCGATGGTTCCCCTTCGCATTGGGGGCCTTGCCTGCCATGTGCGCGGGCGCGCGCGCGTGTGTGTGTGTGTGTGTGTGTGTGTGTGTGTATGTGTGTGTGTGCGTGCGTGCGTGCGTGCGTGCGTGCGTGCGTGCGTGCGTGCGTGCGTGCGTGCGTGCGTGCGTGCGCGCGTGCGTGCGTGCGTGGCGTGCGTGCGTGCGTGCGTGCACGCGTGCGTGCGCTGCGTGTGTATGTGGTGTGTGTGTGTGTGTGTGTGTGTGTGTGTGTGTGTGTGTTGTGTGTGTGTGTGTTGTGGGGGGGGGGGGGGGGTGGGGGTGGGGTGGGGGTGGGGTGGGGCGGGGTGGGGGGTGGGGGGGTGGGGGGGGGGGCGGGGCGGATCTGATTGCCATTGCCCGTGGCTTGGATGCGCGCCTTAATGACGTCGGTCGCAGGATTGTTGCAGAGCTCGGCTTCCCGTTTGCTGACCATGGGCCACGCATGGCCGCCCCTTTCACATGGGGCTCTTGCTGTTGCCAGCCAAGCCGTTGGACAGCGGCGCGGGGGGCGTGGCGAGCGCTCGGTTGCTGGCCTGGGGGTCGAATTCCGAGCAGGGGGGCGCCGCGCTCGCCCCAGAGCCCGCGGGGGCCATGAGGTGGAGGAGGAGGACTAAACGAGCGTCTCGCCTGCAAAAGTTTAAAGTGCAGGGGCGGTCGCAAAGCTAGGTTGATGGCCGCCGTCGCGCTGCCTGCAGCCACCTACAGAGTCGACGTTCATGCTTGCAGTCCGTGCCAAGTTGCCCGCCCCAGACAGACTGCCGCAGCGATCAGTGGGGTCTCGATTCGCGGGGCCAGCGCGGAATTAGCGTGGGGTTTGTCTAGCTGCGGAGACCCACTGGAAGTTGCTGGCAGCGCAATCGGCAGACATGCCGCTGAGTGGTGACAAGCCACCATCCCGATAACTGGTTTACAGAAGAATCATGCGGACTGCTTCTCGCCCGATCCTTGAACCGAGCTTCACCGTGCTGCTGCTGCCCAGCGACCTGCTGTGGCACCGAGCAACCGCCAGCGGTTTAAACGCAGCAATGGCCCGGTTTCAGACATGATAGCGCGGGCCATCTCGCCAGTCTATGTTGCTGCCAGGTTTGCCGAGCAGCTTAAGGGTGCCAAGGTGCGAGCCGCCGGGAAGGTTTTGGAGCGCCACGCATGCCCTGAATCCCCTGCCCTCCAAGAGCGAGGACTATGGTGGGATATCATGGCTCGTTTCCTGCGCTCGGCGCTCGATCGATGGGAGGGGCAGCCCCTACCGCCCAGAGCCTAAGTGTGGGTGCTCTGTCCAGATTGAGTGTAAGTTATGTGGCAAGCCTGAAGTCGCGTTCCATAGGTGTTGGGAGTGCCCGCGCGCGTCAGAAGAATGAAATGGAGTTTGCTCGGCCGAGATGCTCCAGGATGCTCGGGGGGCTGGTGAACATGGTCTCTTCTACGCCCGCGTCTGGCTACCCATGTTCGATGCCCCAGATCCTGTGGCCGATCCTGCATCCGACCGACCTAGGGAACCTTGCCAGGGCTGGTTTCGGAGCTTGCGAGTTGGGTGCCCAAGGGGATTGTCACAGTGGAATGTCTGGCCCTGGCCCCAAACTGTTCTGCCAGACGCCTGGGGGCGGGGAGAGAGAGCTGGCCTCGCGGCCGGAGCTGTTCGTGCCCGAGGAGGTCTGCCAGCCAGCCTAACCGTCGACTCCCGGGCGCTGCTCGGAGCAGGTTTTACCCCCCGAGCTGCTCTGGCCTGGGACTCGCTGGGGGCCCACTTCTTTAGGGAGATTGCGGCAGACATTCCCGCGGACAGGCTCGACTTCAAGAAAATCAAGGCCCACGAGAGCGAAAGGGGCGCTGAAGACCCCGAGGGCCTCGCTGCGATCAGAGGCAACGAGTGCGCTGATTGGCCGGCAGGTCGAAAGGCCCAGGCCCATGAGTTTGCCCCGCTCCAGGCTGAAGAGATTTTCTATGCTGTCAAGAACTATTATAAGTTGTGCACTTCCATGGCTTTAATCCTTGCAGATTGGCCCACCCCTGGAGAGTTGTCCAGGGGCCTTAACAAGGGGTATGTGGGCCCAAGGGGGACTCGTGTGTTGAAAGACCCGCGCAACCCTTATTGGAATGGTGACCACTGGATATGTAGGTTTTGTATCAGTAGGGTCAGCCCCAAGACGCGGTTCGAATTTTTGAGGGAGACTGAATCCGTCATTTTGCAAGGAACTCGAGGCTCCCGACTGTGCTTTTTCAAACTGCATGTGGCTTGGACTGTGCCCCATGGCACCCTGGCCCTCTTCTGTGCAGCATGTGGGATATATGGGACTCTCAAGGCCCTGCGTCTAGGACTGAGGTGCACCCCCAACCCGAAATCCAAAGAGCTTCGGGCCCTCCTGAACGGCCGCCTGCCGATGTCCAGTGGTGTCAGGATCAGCCCTGTTCTCCCCCGGGACAGGACCCCATTGGGAGAGCTTGCCAGGCGTCAGCAGGAGGCCAAGAGGAAGGGTGGGGAGTGTTAATTTCTCTTTTTAGTCTAGGTTTGCACACTGTGGGAACCTAGACCTTTTCAGATTGCTCGGATTGCCCAGAGGAGGGGAGGATAGAGATTGAAGAGGTGCCGTCGAGGAGGGCGATGAGAACAAGGAGGACGAGATGGACAAACAGGACGATGAGGAAGAATAGGAGCAGGGGGATGAGGAGGATGAAGATGAGGAGGGGGATGAGGAGGAGGAAGAGGAACAGGGGGATGAGGAAAAAGGAGGAATATGATGAGGAGGGGGGGGGAGGAGGAGGGGGAGGAGGAGTAGGATGTCCTGTGCTCGCTGACCTATATATCGGGTCAAGCGCTTAGCTACCTCTTTTCCCTGGCGCCTCAGTATTTTACTCGTTGTCAAAACAGCCGATACTCGACAGCTGCTCCCTGCGCAGCCTTACGCTCTTCAGCTGCGTACTTTAGTCGTGCGCGCTCGTTCTTTCAGGCCCTTCTGGATACAGTGAGTGGCTCCATTCAGCTGCTGCAGGCCAGCCATTTCTTATCTTGCCAGTATACAGTCTATCACACTCGCTTGGCCCTATTTGCTTGGCTGCGCGCTTACATTCACAGCATATGCCAGCCTACACATTGCTAGCCTCAGCAGGCTCTACCTTCAAGGGGGGCTCAAGAACCACAGTGGTGGCCACAGTGACAGGCCCACTAGGAACTGAAACGGTGAAGGGCCTCCCCCCGAGGAGCCGAACATACACGGGTAGCAGCCCAATAATTCTTTGTTCGTTATTCTCTGCAGGGCCAGCCAGCACAGCCTGTGCCAGGCCCAATACAACTTTTGCGGCTCTCTCTGACTCACTTCGCTATTTTGATGCAGAACTATTGAACAAATAAAGGTATACGTGTTCTTAAGTTTGCATCCGAACTTGCACCTCTCTTACTCTCTCATTTTAGCGCTGGTCGCCTGAACCTATAAATATAGGGTGGGGTGGGAATCTGCGGGATGGAAAACCAAGGCTGCACAGTGCGTTGCAGAGCGCGCTAGGGCTGCCTTCCGCGAGTCGCCTGTATTTTCTGCATGCGTATATCGCCCTCTCCTTATTATGTTTCCTCCTTGGATAATCGTCGTCGTTTGTATCGTCGGCTTTGTGCTTCCCAGGTGCATTTTCCAGTGCTGGTGGCGGGCGCTTACTCTGCGCCGTTTTTGGCCTCTCTCCGCTGCCATTACCTTGTTTTGCCTGCCCTTGCCCTCGGCGCTCGCCACCTGCCCAATGTGTTTGCTTCTTCGCCCAAGTCGGCGATGTTCCTGTTGCAAGACACTTAGAACGCAACGATCTCCGATCCATATCTGTGCAACGTCAAAAGGAGGAGGAAGACGAGGTGGAGGAGGAGGAGGAGAAAGACGAGGTGGAGGAGGAGGAAGAGGAGGAAGAGGAGGAGGAGGAGGAGGAGGAGGAGGAGGAGGAGGGGGAGGAGGAGGAGGAGGAGGAGGTGGTAAGCTTTAGTGCCGGCATGGAGCCCTACGCCTGATGCCCCCAGACTTCCCGAGAGCCCCCCTCCGGATGCAGGAACCTCCGGGGAGACCCTTGAGACTTGGAAGCCCGCCCCGGAGGCTCCGAGGCCCCAGGGGTGTCCGAAATGTGCAGAAAACGCTCCTAGCCTTCCATCCCCGATCCCCGACCCCCAGTCTCTGGCACTTTTACCAGCCTGGAACGTACCCGTGTGCCCGCAGTTTCTGAGGGCGCACCCCTCAGACTGTTACGCTTCTGGGCCTGTTAATCTCGGGGAGAGGGATGGTATCGAGGCCGGCTTGGCCCTCGGTCGTCGAGGAGCGGCGCCCGCCGCCAGGCCGCCGAGGTGGTGCCCCCCCAGCAGGAGGCCCCCGCTGCGCTCGGCAGCGCCCCGGAGGAGCCAGGACCGCCGCGGCCCGCCCAGTCGGAGGACGGAAGGCGTGAGGCGACGGTGCAGCGGGGATCGGGGATGGTGCGGTCGGCGCTGCCAGCACATCGTGCGGCGTGGCGGTCGTGGCAGGGGCGAGGCGAGGCGAGGCGAGCGCGCGGTTCCGCCGGGAGCGGGGCGCTTTAGGGCCTGCGCGGGGGGGCTGGGGCCCGCAGTGCTTGCAGTCCTTGTTTGCCGAGGTCGGGGTGCTGGGTTATGAGCTGGTGGACGCTGGAGGTCGAGTGGTGCAGGTGGAGGTGGAGAGTCGGAAGCCGCATGCCGGAGTCGGAGTGCGGCCGCGGCGGCCGTGGCAGGGGGATGGTCACGGAAGGGGCCCTCGCGGGGGGGGATCGCCCCACAGGGAGAGGCGTGCTTTTTTGTCGGAGATCGGGGTGGCACGCGGGCCTTCCAGCGCCAGCCGTGGGCCCCCCCGCGGGGGCGCGCAGGTGCTCGCGCTGTGCGCGCGTCGCGGTCCGGGCCCGAGCGCCTGCCCCATCTGCAACGGGGGGCGGCGCGAGGGCGCGAGGGCGCGAGAGGCAGCCTCGCACCGCGGGGCGCGGGGCGCGAAGCTGGGCGACCCAAGTGATCGGCACCCTCTCGGGGCCTCCAGAGATCTCCAGAGATCCAGGCCTCGGACGTCGTGGCTCGTCGTCAAGCCCAGCGTCTTCTCGCGGTGGAGGCCCTGGAGATGCCTCCGAGCCCCCCGTGCAATGGGTTCTTGGGTGGGACTCCTTCCCAGGGAAGGGTTCCGTTGGCCTGGGGGACCCGCATTGAAACGCGCACGCCGTTGGAGGTACGGGCTATTTCCACAGTCGATCTCTTGGAGGCGCTCCTGGAGGGTCACGGTGGCCCCCGGTAGCCAATGGGGGCCCCGAGAGGCCCTCGAGACAGAGGGGTGTCCAGACGCCCGATGCCGTGGTTTCTTCGTGGCGGACCTCGCGACCCCATCCCTGTGATCATCAGGAGGGGAAAAAACACACAGACACAATTAATCGTCGATCCCCAGGAAAATATACGAAAATATGGGAAGTGGGGGGGAAGACAGAAACCCAGAAAATATAAGAAAATATGGGGAATCATGTTATTTGTGTGTATTCATTTGTGTGTCCTGGGGCCCCTTCAGTCATCCCAGGTCGTTTCGACAGTCCCAGGGCCCGACGTTGTCTACGTTCTCCTGCCAATCGGGACCAGGAATCTGTCCACTATAGTTTGCTATGTTTGTCCAGCGCTCAGCGGCACATGGCGCAGCAAACTCAGTTTAGAATGCGTGTGTGTTCAAGACCTGTCGCCTGGAGAACCGGTTGGGGAATTATCAAGTCTACGTTGTCCTGTGGCGCTTCTGCCAGGACCCAGATACATTAGTCAGTGTATATACGCGCGGCTCCCAACAAAAAACAGTTTTGGGCAGTTTGGGGTCCTGTCCTCGGGTGTTGTCTGACCAGAATCTCGAGGCGGATCCAATTGTGGCGACAGGTGTGGCAAGAGGCCCCAGGATTGCAGTAAGCCCAGAAGAGCTCGAACTATGACGCGGCACTTTCTGGACTGCGCAGCCGAAGTATATGACGTGATGATAAGCCGTTGGGACTTTGATGGTGAAGCAATGGGCTGGGTTGATGTGGCCTCTCAGACTGGTTGGAACTGGCTGCGGACAGGTCCTGTGACCACCTGAATTCGGACTGGGTTGGCTGGCTGGGCCCCCAAAGCTGCCACACTATTAGGATGCCTTCATCCGTCTGTAATTCAGGAGGGGAAGAAACACGCAGACACAATTAATCGTCGATTCCCAAGAAAATATGGAAACATATGGGAAGTGGGCGGGAAACAAAAACCCAGAACATATGGGAAAATATGTGGAATCTTTTTATTTGTGTGTATTTATTTGTGTGTCCCAGGGCCCCTTCAGTAATTGAAGTCAGTGCAGAAGGGCTGCCAAGATGATGTGCGCCAGGAGCGAGCGTGTGCGATTGGAGCGAGCTCCCTGGCAACAGCCCTGCTTACGCCATGCCGAGCGGGAGCGAACGTGCAAGCTCGGGGTGTTCTTCCTGCAGTCAATGCTGACAACGCGATGTGCCCCCAGAGCTAGCAGGCACGCTCGGAGTGAGCTTTCTTGCCGCAGCACTGGCAGCGCGAAGTGCACAGGTTGCGAGCTCTGCACCCTCGAAGTGCACTTTTCCGCCGGCCTCATTTTCGATGCCGTGTGGGCAGGGAGCGAGCTGGCACGATCGGAGTGAGCTTCATGGTAGCAGCGTAGCAACAACGCTGGGCAACGACAATTAAGTTGAAAGCGAACCTGCAAGCTCTCTGTGGGCGTTCTGCCAACAGCGCTGCGAGCGCGATGTGCTCCAAGAGCGAGCCAGGCACGCCTGCAGTGAGTTTCTTCGTAGCAGCATGGGCAGCGCGAAGTGCACTAGAAGTAAGCCGCCACGCTGGAAGCGAGCTTGCCGTGGCCTTCGTTTTGCAGTGCGCTGTGCACCGTGAGCGAGCCAGCGCCCTCTGATCGACCTGCTGGAAACAACGACCACCGCAACAACGCTGGCATGGCGGTGTGTAAAGGAAGCGAGCTTGGTGCCTACACTCTAGGCGATGCTTAAGAAAACCAGAGTTTTCGGCCAGAGTCTCGATTATTCTTAATGTTCCAATGTAAACCCTGAGATTTGAACAGGCATTCTGGGCTTTCACTCAACTTCTGAGACTATGAATTTCTCAACCCACGATTTTTAAAGCATTTCGCAGGGTGTACAGCGCTGGCAGCGCGACGTGCGCCGAGCCGTCCCGTTCGGGGCGAGTGTCGCGGCAGCCTCGCAGGCTCGGAGCGGGCAGCCCGCCGCGCCGACGACGTCGGCCCGGCGAGGTGCGCTGGGCGCGAGCCAGCACGCTCGGGTTGCGTTTCCTTTGGGCAGCGCTGGCAGAGGAGGAAGAGGAGGAGAAGGAGGAGGAGGAGGAGGAGGAGGAGGAGGAGGAGGAGGGAGGAGGAGGGAGGAGGAGGCGGGAGCACACCTGGAGCAGGGCAGCGAGCCAGCGCGCTCCCAGTGAGCTTCGTGGCAGCACTGCTGGCAGCCAGCAGTGCTGCGTGCGGCACGCTCGAGGTCAGCTTTGCTATCAATCCCGCCTGCTGCGCTGCCAGACGCGAACGAGCACGCTCTGAGTGAGCCTCCCGTCGCATTAAAGTCAGCAAAGCTGGCAACTCGAAGTTTGTCTCAAGCGAGCCTGACAACGCCGACAACGCTGGTAGCTCGATGTGCGCAGGGAGCGAGCCAGTACGCTCAGAGTGCGCTTCCACGGTAGAGTGCTGATAGTGCGAAGTGCACTGGAAACGAGCCGGCACATCCGCGAGGCTCACAGGAGGGGCAAGGGAAGGAGAACGCCCCAGGGCACCTGTAGCAACGGAGCTGTTGGAAGCGTGCAGTAAGAGGCCTACGCAGTGGGGAAACGGCCAATCATCTCGATCCTTCGGTCCTCGATCCTCGAGGGAGGGCAGTAGCAAGCGTGGCCCACACCAGACCTCTCCCGACGCCGGACGCACCTCCCTCACCATCTGGCCCCTCCCAGCAGGAGGCAGCCTGCCAGCCGTGGGGGAGGACGAACGCGGCCCGGACCAGGACGAGGACGTGCCGAACCTCCTCACGCTCGGGGTGCACCTGCAGGCGCTGCAGAAGGAGGACCCCAGACCGTGTTTTGTAGTAGTAGTAGTAGTAGTAGTAGTAGTAGTAGTAGTAGTAGTAGTCGTAGTCGTAGTCGTAGTCGTAGTCGTAGTCGTAGTAGTAGTAGTAGTAGTAGTAGTAGTAGTAGTAGTAGTAGTAGTAGTCGTAGTCGTAGTCGTAGTCGTAGTCGTAGTTGTAGTCGTAGTAGCAGTAATAGTTGTTGTTGTTGTTGTTGTTGTTGTTGTTGTTGTTGTTGTTGAGGTTGTTGTTGTTGTTGCTGTCGTTGTCCTTGTTGTTCTTGTTGTTCTTGTTGTTGTTGTTGTTGTTGTTGTTGTTGTTGTTGTTGTTGTTGAACTCTCATTTCTGAATAATGATTATTGTTGATCCCCCCTCACAGGTGCACACTGTTTTTTCTAAATAAAACTGTGTCCCTCGACGCTCGCACCCCGTTTTTTGACAGGGAAAGTCTTTGTGCTCAAACTGTGCCCCTGGTCCCCCGGATTACAACAACAGCGGCTCCCGCCTGAAACTTCCTCCAAATCTACTCAGGACCCCCGCTCCTGAGGCTTCCTCACAATTCACTTAGGATCGGTGCTCCCGCCTGTGACTTCCTCGCAATTTACTCAGGACCCCGCCATCTGAGACTTCCTCACAATTTACTCAGGAACGGCGCTCCCGCTTGAGACTTCCTCGCAATTGAATCAAGACTTCCTCGCAATTTAATCAAGACCCCCGCTCCCGCCAGAGAACCTTTCACATTTTATTCAGGAATTGTGCTCTCGCCTGCGACTTCCATGCAATTTATTCAGACATCGCACTTTCGACGCTCAGGAAATAAGCCGCGCGCATCCCGCTTGAATGCCCCACCCGCCCGACCCGCCCATCAGGGGCTCGCCCGCCCGTCGTGGGCTCCCGCCCGGGACTTCCTACAGGAACGGCGCTTTCGCTTAGGACTTCCTCGAACGTTCACGCTCTTACCTTCCTGCTCCTCCTCTCCTCTCCCTCCTCCCTACTCCCTCCTCTCCTCTCTGCTCTCTCCCTCCTCTCTTCCCTCATCCTTATGCCTCTCTGCCCTATTCCCTCTCCCTCCTGTCCCTCCTCCCTTTTCCCTCCCCTCTCCTGCCTCCTCCCTCCCTCTTTCTTTCTCTTTCTCTCCCCCCTCTCTCTACCTCTCTTGTCTGTCTTTCTCTTTCTCTCTCTGCCTCTAATCAATCGCCCCCTCTTCGCGCTTTCTCTCCTGGCATTTTCCCTCTGCCTTCGTCCCTCCCCCTCCCTTCCTCCCACTTTCTCTCGTTCTCCCCCTCCTCTTTTTGCAGGGCCCGCACCAATTCCAATGGCGGGCACATGAACGCCCACGAAGGATTTTCCGCCCGTTCAGGTTTGCCCGCCTGTCCAAGCCCGCCGCCCCCCGCAAAGAGAACGAATTCCCCCAAAGGGGGTGTGACCGAAGACAAAAAGGGCGGGTATCGAGGGTGTGGGGAACTCGTTTCGAATGACACGCGGGCAAGTCAGAGCGAACAGTCTTATAATGCTTGTTGTTTTTGCTGCTATTGTTGTGGTTGTTGTTGTTGTTGTTGTTGTTGTTGTTGTTGTTGTTGTTGTTGTTGTTGTTGTTGCTGTTGTTGTTGTTGTTGTTGTTGTTGTTGTTGTTGTGGTTGTTGTTGTTGTTGTTGTTGTTCTCCTCCTCCGCCCCCTACTCCACTTCTTTCTCCTCCTCACTCAGTTCCTTCCCCTCCTTCCTTCCTCTGTCTCCTCCTCCTCCTCCACCTCCTCCTCTTCCTCCTCCTTTTCGTCCTCCTTCTCTTCCTCCTCCTCCTCCTCCTTCCTCTCCTCCTCCCTCTCCTCCTCCTCCTTCTCGTCCTCCTCCTCTTCCTCCTCCTTCTCCTCCTCCTCCTCCTCCTCCTCCTCCTCCTCCTCCTCCTCCTCCTCCTCCTCCTCCCCTCCTGTCTCTCTTTCATTCCCCCCCCAAACGCACACGTTTTGGACCTGCAGAGGCCACCAGAGGTTCCTGGGGACCTGGGGACTTGAACTCCAGGGGCCTCGGCAGACCTCCATGCCACCACGTGTGCTCCACATGGTCACCGCGCCGCCCGCTCCCGGGAGGACCCCGACAGCGTGTTCGTGGTGCGTGGGATCCACGTGCTGGGCTTCGAGTCTCCGCCCCAGGGAGAGCCCGATTCGTGCGTCAGCCGACGGCGAGCAGAAGAGGCTAGGGCGAGTCGGACATCCGGCTTCTCGGTGCCTCGGTGGCCTATGTCGGGCCCCAGGACCACTAAGACTTTGGACTAAGAGCCCGCCCCGAGGAGGGATGGTTGAGGTCCGGGGCCCATGTCTGTACCAGGTCATCCCGCCCGATGTCTGGGGACGGGGCGGCGTTCCAGGAAGGCAGAAGGCCTCTCAGAAAGGATCGAGGGTCGGCCTCCACAACGAGGAGGAGGAGGAGGAGGAGGAGGAGGAGGAGGAGGAGGAGGAGGAGGAGGAGGAGGAGGAGAGACGAGGACGAGACGGACGAGGAGGACGAGGAGGAGGAGAGAGGAGGAGGAGGAGGAGGAGGAGGGAGGAGGAGGAGGAGGAGGAGGAGGAGGAGGAGGAGGAGATGGTGGGGCCCTGACGCGGCCAGGGCCGCCCGCAGGGGTGCGGCGAGGGGCGCGCCTCGCGCCCCTGCGGTCTGGACCGCAGTTTACCAGCCTGGAACATATCCCTATCCCTATGCTGGGCACCTCCTCATCACGATGCCAATCTTAGGGACTCCCTTATTTTTTGAGGGCGAATCCCTACGAGTGTAATCGCCTTTTGGCGTGTCAATCTTAGGGATAGGGATACGTTCGAGGCTGGTAAGCAGTGGTGCTCTTCTCTAGGGCGGCGGCGCGGGGGCGTGGAGGCAGCCGCTCGTCGCGGGGCTCTGGGCGCGGGGCGCGGGGCCGGGCGACGTCGCGAGGCCGCTTCCCGCGCCTGTGGACCCCTCCTTTCGGATGCAGTTCCTGGGAGGTCCAATGCTGATGTTTCCCTGGTCCGGCGAAATCCGGCTTGATCCGGCTTAATCCCGCTTGATCCGGCTTAATTCCGCTCAATCCCGTTTAATCCGGCGTAATCCTGCCTAGTCCGAGGCCCACTCCGGCGCATCAGCTCCCAATTGGGGCTTGATCCTCCTTAATCTTTCCGACGAAAACCTCAGCGCGTCGCCGATCGATTGTGGGGCGAACTCTTTCAAGGTTTTTGCGCCACCAGGGCGGTCCTCGATCGAGTTCGGGCAGCCAGTTGGGACGATGACACCAGGCTGACTGTTGACGGTGTGGGTGCACGAGGATACGGAAGCATTCGGCATTACCCTCGCTCCCTCCACCTGTGTTTAATACTGCCACTCGCCTGCCGCTGCGGGCGTTTGGCTCAAGCTGTTTTCTAAGGGCGAGACGCGTCTGTTGACTTCGCGGACAAAAGGAGCGCGCGCCTCTGCCCAGCGTGATCGCAACACCACCCATCCTTACTTTGCTTGCCAGATAGATGAGGCCATGGAACGACCTTCTGTCTACAAGACCCGCATGAAGGGATCCCGTGAATAAGGAGAGGGGCGTGAGGATCATGCTCCACCATCGTCGTCTCAGAATTCCGATTCTCTGACGAAGGACTGCGTTGCATCGGTCGTACATGCAAGAGCTGCTGCTTGGAACATACGCTCACCATAGTGTGATTGTAAATCTATAAATGGAAAGCCATCAACAACTTTATGCTAACCAGCGTAGACCCCACACAGTTCTCTCTTGCAATCTACGCTGTGCAATTTAGGTGGTGCAGCTAATGTGGTGCAATTAATCTAAGTGGTGCAATCCATGTTATGCAATGCGATGCACAGTCACGCAACTCAATGCAACACAATGCACGGACATGCAACACGCTGCAAAGCAATGCGCAGCACTGCGCGTCAATGCAGCGCAATGCGCATCAATGCACAGCAACACCAAGAAGTGAAACGCAATGCGCAGCAATGCGACGCATTGCAAGGCAACGCAAATCAATACAGTTCAATACGAAGCAATGCAAGTCAATGCAACTGATCGCGATGCAATGCGAAACAATGCGAAACACAGCAACGCAATGCAAAGACACATGCAGTCATGCAACGCAATGCGAAGCACTGCAACGCAATGTCGTGCAATGCGATGCAAAGACAAGCAATGCAGCAACGGGAACTCAATGCGACGCAACGCGCTGCACAATGCAAAGCAATGCAACACCACGCACAGCAATGCGCAGCAACGTGCAACACACACACAGTTCAGACCATCGCCGACGAATGAAACACCTCAGCACGGCGCACGGACATGCGAGGCAGCGCACAGCAGCCAGGAACGGTGCAACGCAAAAAGCAGTGCCGCGCAGTGCATTGGCGAGGCAGAGGAGTGCAAAAGCGAGGCAGCGCGGTGCAGGACGAGGCAGAGAGCAGCCCAAGACCAATGCGATCGCACTGCAGTGCGGTTGCAGTACGCTGCAACGGCAGTGCCCAGGCGAAAGGGCGCGCCGGGGCGGCGGCGACGGACTGGCACGGGGCCGCCGGGCCTGCGGACGGGCCTGCGGCTGGGAAGAGCGGGTCGGCAACGGACTCCTCCTCCTCCTCCTCCGCCTCCTCCTCCTCCCCCCCCTCCTCCGCCTCCTCCTCCTCCTCCCTCTCCTCCTCCTCCTCCTCCTCCTCTCCTCCTCCTCCTCCTCCTCCTCCTCCTCCTCCTCCTCCTCCTCCTCCTCCTCCTCCTCCTCCTCCCTCCCCCCTCCCCCTCCTCCTCCTCCTCTCCCTCCCCCTCCTCCTCCTCCTCCGCCTCCTCCCCCTCCTCCTCCTCCTCCTTCTCCTCCTCTTCCTCACGGGGCCGCCAGGTCCCCACCGGGAGGCTGCCGCGGGTGGTCTCGAAGTCCGTCGTGTGTGACTCTGCGGTGTGCTATGTTTTTGAGCCTTGTCCGAGCGCTGCTTCTCCATGGTCGACCGCGATCTACTGTCTTTTGCAGGGGGAGGGGAGGGCTTGGAGCCTCCCTTCCCTCTGCCCGCTTCTCCTCTGCCACGGGAGGCATGGGTGCTGCCGCACCCCACCTTTCTCCCGAGCCAGAGGCGGAGGAGTCGGCTAAGGAGGATGAGGATGAGGATGAGCATGGGGATGAGGAGGATGATGCTGCTGCTGCAGATGATGATGATGATGATGATGATGATGATGATGATGATGATGATGATGATGATGATGATGATGATGATGATGATGCTGATGATGATGATGATGATGGTGGTGATGGTGATGGTGATGGTGATTGTGATGGTGATGGTGATAATGATGATGCTGATGCTGCTGATGCTGATGATGCTGATGATGATGGTGATGATGGTGGTGATGGTGAAGGTGATGGTGATGGTGATGATGATGTTCATAAGTTTGATCACTTTTTTGATTTATGATGATGGCGATGGTGGTGGTCATGGTCATGGGCATGGGCATGGTCGTGGTGATGATATGGTGATGATGACGCTGACGATGATGATGGTGATGGTTATGATGCCACTGTCGATGATGACGACGGCCTTCATGATGATGATGCTGATGATGGTGATGATGATGATGATGATGATGATGATGATGCTGATGAGGAGGAGGAGGAGGAGGAGGAGGAGGAGGAGGAGGAGGAGGAGAGAGGTAAAGGCGGAGGCGAAGCGGGAACGGGAGGACCAATAGGAGCGGGAAGGGGGTGTGACACAGACCAGGCGGAGGTGTAGGAAGATGATGACAGAAGTTAGGAGGATGATGAGGAGGAGGGGGGGAAGAGTAGGGACAGGGACAGTAGCAGTGGCAGCCGCATGAGCGGCAGGAATATGAGCCGCAGGAGCAGGAGCAGAAGCAGGAGCAGCCGTGGAAGCGGGAGTTCGCGGAAGAAGTAGCGGTGGTGGCGAAGGGCGTCCTCCTCCACCAGCTCCACCCGCACTGCCCCGACATAATACTGACGATGATGAGTACGAGGCAGAGCAGGAGCAGCAGCAGCAGCAATCGCAGCAATACCGTACTGTTGCTCAGGCTCGGACGATGATGTATGATTAGAAAGTTGACGACGATGATGACGATAACGAATTTGTAACATCAGGTGTCAGTACGACGGCGACGATGGTGATGACGATGCTGAGGACGACGATGCTGATGGCGATGACGACGATGTTGACTATACGACTGCCTCTGTTGCTGGCGATGATGACGATGACGATGATGGCGATGATGATGGGGATGGCGATAATGTCAATACTGATGATGATGACGATGCTGGCGATGATGACGATTACGACGACGACGATGACGACGATGGTGATGACGACGATGCTGATGATGATGGTGATGATGCCGGTGATGCTGATGATGATGCTGATGCTGTTGATGCTGATGATGAGGTTGATGATGATGATGTTGATGACGATGACGATGATGATGCTGGTGATGATGGTGATGCTGATGATGGTGGTGGTCATGATGGTGATGATGATGCTGATGCGGCTGCTTATGACGAATGCGATGTCAATACAGATGCCGATGGCGATGACGACGATGTTGACTATACGACTGCCGCTGTTGCTGGCGATGATTACGATGACAATGATGGCGATGATGATTGGGATGGCGATAGTGTCAATACTGATGATGATGATGACGATGCTGGCGATGATGACGATTACGACGACGACGATGACGACGATGGTGATGACGACGAGGCTGATGATGGTGATGATGCCGGTGATGCTGATGATGATGCTGATGCTGTTGATGCTGATGATGAGGTTGATGATGATGTTGATGACGATGACGATGACGATGACGATGATGATGCTGGTGATGACGGTGATGCTGATGATGGTGGTGGTCATGATGATGATGATGATGATGATGATGATGATGATGATGATGATGATGCGGCTGCTTATGTCAATACAGATGACGATGGCGATGATGATGAAGATGAGGATGCGGATGCGGACGAGGATATCGATGATGATGAGGGTGATGATGATTGATGATGTTGATCATGATGATGCTGATGATGATGATGCTGAAGTTGATGGTGATTATGATGCTGATGGTGGTGATGGTGATGGTGATGATGGTGATGGTGATGGCGACGAATATGATCAGGATGGTGGTGGTGATCGAGGTGATGATGCTAGTGTTGATCATACAGATGATGATGATGATGATGATGATGATGATGATGATGAAGATGATGATGATGATGATGATGATGATGATGATGATGATGATGATGATGATGATGATGATGATGATGATGATGATGACCATGACGATGATACTGATGATGATGACGATGATGCTGACGGCGATGATGATGATGATGATGATGACGACTATGACGATGACGATGATGATAAGGATGATGATGCGGATGAGGATGAGGATGAGGATGACAATGATGATGAGGACGAGGATTCGGGTGAGGACGGATAATGATGAGGATGATGAGGATGAGGATCCGGATGTGGTTGAGGAGCAGGATGGTGACGTGGATGAGGATGATGATAATGATGAGACGAGGGGGAGGATGAGGATGAGGGGGATGATGATGCTGATGTTGATGCTGGCGGTGGTGATGATGATGACGGTAGTGGTGGTGGTGACGATGCTGTTGGTGGTGATGATGAGGATGATGAGGTTGATCAGGATTATGTTGATGTTGATTGTGATGATGATGATGATGATGATGATGATGGCGGATGATGGCGATTGTGGCGAATGTGATGATGATGATGATGATGATGATGATGATGATGATGATGATGATGATGGCGACGATGATGATGTTGATGGCGATGATGATGATGCTGATGCAAAAGGCGACGATGTTGACGATGATTATGACGCCAGGTTGCGTTACCGACGCAGCAGGGTGTCCGCGTTTATCGAGGCAACAGCAGGGGGTGAGAGAGGAGCGATGTCGATGACGATGACGATGACGACGGGGTCGTCATCGCCATCACCATCGTCATCGTCATCGTCATCGTCATCGTCATCGCCACCACAGAGGAGTGTGAGGAGGGACGGGTGGAGGAGGAGGGGGAGGGGGCGGGAGGAGGATAGGCAAGAAATGGAGGATGAGGAGGAGCAGGAGGAGGAGGAGGAGGACGAGGACGAGGACAGCCTGGGTAAGAAGGGTAACCGATGGGCAGGAGGAGGAGGAGGAGGAGGAGGACGAGGACGAGGACGGCCTGGAGGAAGAGGAGGACGGGGAGGATGAAGAGGAGGAGGAGGAGGAGGAGGAGGACGAGGAGGAGGAGGAGGAGGAGGAGGAGGAGGAGGCGGACGAGGAGGGAGTGTGGATGAGACGCTTCTAAGGTCCCCGCAGATGTTGATGGCGCACTTCTCGACATTCGGGGAGGTCGCGAACGTGCTGGTCTCGAATTCCAAGGTCAGGGGGCCCGAGACCACCCGAGTCTTCTCCCCCACTGTCATGCCCTCCTCTGTCTCCTTCCCCCTCGCTCTCTCCCTACTTCGCCCCTCCCTCCCTCCCCTCCACTCTCTCGTTTGCTTTTCGTTTTTCGCTTCCCCCCCTCTCCTCTCCCTTCCATCCTGCCTGCCATACGGCCAAGCCTGAACCAAGCGCGGCTTTCTCGACGTGCGTCCCCGTCATCCCGCCCCCTCATCCGCCGCATTCTTAAAGTTAGCGTTATACTCTTTCCTTTTTTCTTCGCGCCCCTCTGTCAGAGCACGGTTGCTTCTTAAACTCACTGCGTCAACCACGCTGTTCTGCTGATCCGAGTGAAGTTGCGCCGTTTATTCTGCCGACAGTCGATGTCGCGCTTACTGTTGGTATAGCACTGCATTGGATTTGCAATAGTTGCTCCACGACGGATGACCTCAGTGTGTTCCATGAAAGACGCGTGCACATGTGCAACGCCAGCTTTGTGCAAAGGCCAGTCTCCAGCGAGCCAGTGCTGGTGACATCATGAACATGATCCAGAACGAACGTGAGATGCCCCGATGCAGCAGGAACATGCAGCTGCCACAATCACATTGAGATCGGAAGCCCTACATTCTTGCAGATATTCACCTTCTGCCATGCCTTGGACCTCGGCAAGGGCAATCACCTGAATGCTGTCTCCAGTCGTAGACTTGCCAGCTCATCCGGCTGCCTTCGGCAACTCCGCCACCGTGCCAGCGCAGGCCTCTCGCATGCCCTTGGAGCCTGCTGGGTGTCTCTTGGGTGCCCCTTGGGTGCCTCTCTGCAACGTCTTGGGAGCACCTAGGAGGCTCCTGGGGGCTCCTTGGGCCGTCTGAGGGCGCTCGAATGCCCTGGGAGCTTGTTGGGTGTCTCTTGGGTGCCTCTCGGGGCCTCTCTGCAGCGTCTTGGGAGCACCTAGGAGGCTCTTGGGGGCTCCTTGGGCAGTCTGAGGGCGCTCTTGGGTTGTGCGCGCTCTCGGGCCCCGTCTTGGGGGAGCTCTTGGCTCTTGGGGCCCTCCTGGGGACCTTCCGAGCCACCTGAGGGCCCCTGGGGCCGGCTTGGAGTCCTCGTGGACCGCTCCTGGGCCACCTTGGAACCCTGTGGGGCCGTCTTGGGGCACTCTTGAGGCCTTCGGGGGCCATCTTGGAGGCTTCTTGGACCGTCTTGAGCTCACAAAGGCCCGAAACAGTGAGAATGCCGAACTCCATCAACAACCAAAGGACAATCAACGATTCTGCTAACTTCGGGCCTTGCTGGAGTCTTTTTGAGCCCGTGTGAGTCGTCTTGGGAGCCTCTTGGGCAGTCTTGAAGCAATCTCGGGCCGTCTTGGCGCCATCATGGGCTGTCCTGGAGGTATATTGGGCCATCTTGGTGGCACTGGAGGCCTTCCCGGGCCGCCTTGAAAATCATATCGTGGGCATCCAGGGCGCCTTGGAGAGCGCCGCGGAGGCGTAGGGGCGCCCAGGAAGCCCTGGGTGGTGGGGGGGGGCGGTGCCCGCGGTTGGATGCTGGTAGAGGCGGAGGGGGCGCCTTGGAAGATGACAGGCGGCCTACCAGACACCGCTTGGCATTCTGCCACGCCTCAGCGTGCTAGGGGGCACATATTCACCAGCACTGTCAGCAAGAGCCGGGGCAGTGGAACCATGTAGATTATCCAGGGCCGCGAGATCGAGGGCAGTTCCTCCACGACCACCGCGCTTCGACCATTCTCTCCAATACCACCCAGGCAGCCACCCACCGTGATAGCTTTCATCGGCATAGGGTTATCATAACCAGCGCAACCGACATGGGCTTACACGTGCTACAATGCTGTCAGGGTTCTTGATCTAAGTGTGACCAGCGTGCCAACAGCTACACATTATTAGAGTGAGGGCGTCGAGCGGTCTTACACTGTCCCTGGGTGTGTGGTTTCAGTTGAGTTCCGCGGTGCAGATGGTCGTTCGTCCGTTCGTTCGTTCTTCTTCTTCTTCTAATTCGTGTCGTCGTCGCCCTGCGCCCCGCCCCGCGACCCACCTCGCAACCCACCTCGCGACCCACCCCACGACCCACCCGCGACACACCCGCGCCGCGATCCACCCGCCACCCAGCCGCCCCGCAACTCACACGCTACCCACCAGCGACCCACCCACATTGCTTTGAAGAAAAATCGGCGCCGCCTGCTGCGGGCTTCTTCGAACCTGCTTCGAGCCTCGCAGATAGCCGGCGACCCCCCCCTCGCCCCCCCACTTTCATTCGCAACTGCGGGGGGGATGGGCAATCATTCAGCAACGCTCGAGGCGTATCCGCTGATGGCAAGCACCAAGTTCTTCAAGGTGACGTCGAACCACTAAGCGAATTGTATGTTCAAAGGGTAATGTGTGCAACTTTTTCGAGAACAGTCCAGAAATCTTCAAATCGCGAATGGGCGACGCAGTGATGCCAGCACCAGGCGCAGTGGATGCGAAACGCGGGGCGTATCACACAGGAACGCTCAGGCCTCATGGCTGATCTCTCCCCTCCCCATCGTCAGCTGCTGCTGCTGCTGTTGCTGCTCCCTCCGTGCAGACATCTGGCGGCTCGAGGTTTCAGGGCATGGGCCCCAGGACCTCGACCCCTTCCCAGGGGGCTGGCTCTTCCCACCCCGAAGCGGTCTCGGCAGTCCCAGGGTCCCGAAACTGGCCTCCAGCGGCTCAGAACGGAGCGAGCGACAGGAGCATCCCGGTGCCGCCCAGCCGCCGGGCGTCTGGCGCCGCCGTGGCCCCTGCGAGGTGAAGCCGTACCGCAGGAGGTCGGCGAGGCAGTGGCGGATCCGGCCGGGGGGCATCGGCTTCGTCGTGATGGCGGACGCCGCGAGCGTCGAGCGCGTCCTGCAGGCGGCGGGATGGGGGGGGGGGGCGAGCACGACCGCCCGCCGCCCCCTGCCACCTTCGGGGGCAAGGAGGAGGAGGAGGAGGAGGAGGAGGAGGAGGGAGGAGGAGGAGGAGGAAGAGGAGGAGGAGGAGGAGGAGGAGGAGGAGGAGGAGGAGGAGGAAGAGGGGGAGGGGGAGGGGGAGGAGGAGGAGGAGGAGGAGGAGGAGGAGGAGGAGGAGGAGGAGGAGGAGGAGGAGGAGGAGGAGGAGGAGGAGTAGGAGGAGTAGGAGGAGGAGGAGGAGGAGGAGGAGGAGGAGGAGGAGGAGGAGGAGGAGGAGGAAGAGGAAGAGGGGGGAGGGGGAGGAGGAGGAGGAGGAGGAGGAGGAGGAGGAGGAGGAGGAGGAGGAGGAGGAGGAGGAGGAGGAGGAGGAGGAGGAGGAGGAGGAGGAGGAGGAGGAATAGGAGGAGGGAGAGGAGGAGGAGGAGGTTACGGGGGGAGGATGCGCTCGGGGAGGGGTTCGGGGCTCGGAGGGTTTTCGGGTGTTTTCGTCGGCTCTCGGCGGCCTTCCAGCCTCGGGATGGCTCTCCAGCAGCGGCGCCTCCCGGGAGCGCTCGGGGGCGCCCGGGCCGTGCCGGGCGGCCGCTGGAGGCCCGAGTGCTGGCTGGGGAACCTATGGAGGGGATGCGTCGACGCCTCGAGCACCTATTCATCGCCGATGGGGGCCTAGTGGCCCACCCCGCCCAGGAGCCTGCTGATTTGCTGCATCGGGGGCCTATCGCCGATCCCTCCGAGCTGAACGAGCGAGGGGGGGGTCGGTGCTTCCCTCCCTGAGCCGCCCCCTCCCCCCATCGTTCCCCCTCACCTCTGCGGACCTCCGCCATGATGATGATGCTGATGATGCTGCTGATGCTGCTGCTGATGATGATGATGATGATGATGCTGATGCTGATGCTGATGCTGATGCCGATGCTGATGCTGATGCTGATGATGCTGATGCTGATGATGCTGATGCTGATGATGCTGATGCTGATGAAAATGAAGATGATGCTGATGATGATGCTGAACCTGATGATGATGATGCTGATGCTGATGCTGATGCTGATGCTGATAGTGATAGTGATGGTGATGGTGATGGTGATGGTGATGATGGTGCTGATGATGATGCTGACGGTGCTGACGGTGATGATGCTGACGGTGATGGTGCTGATGGTGATGATGCTGATGGTGATGGTGATGGTGATGATGATGATGCTGCTGCTGATGCTGTTGGTGATGATGCTGATGGTGATGATGCTGATGGTTATGATGCTGATGGTGATGTTGATGGTGATGTTGATGATGATGATGATGATGATGATGATTGTGATGGTGGTGATGATGCTGATGCTGATGCTGATTCTGATGATGATGACGATGATGACGATGATGACGATGATGATGATGATGACGATCATGATGATGATGATGATGATGATGATGATGATGATGATGATGATGATGATGATGATGATGATGAGGAGGAGGAGGAGGAGGAGGAGGAGGAGGAGGAGGAGGAGGAGGAGGAGGAGGAGGCGGCCTTGAGGATGTCGCTGCTGAGTCAGGCTTCTTGCCGGCCCAGGGTTCTCTTTGTGCTGGCGGGCCCTGGCCCTGTACCAGAAGGGTGTCGAGCAGTGGGCGTCGGAATTTGACACGTAAACACACGTGTGCGGAGGGGGGGCTCCAACGTGCGCGTCTCGGCGTGAGTGCGTTCGGCGCGTGTTCTCGAGCATTTCTCGCCACAGTGGCGCCCCTCAGGGGTGGACCCAACTTCTAGTGTCGTTGGATGGGGGGGCCCAGCAGCCCCCCTCCGCGCGCGTGAGAGTAGGTGTGCGGAGGGGGGGGCACCCAACATGCTCCTGGCGCGTGCGCGCGGGGCACGAGTTTTCACGTGTCCACGGCCCCCTTTTCCTTCCCCATCTCTGTTTAACTCAAGCTTCGCGCGGCCCGCTTAGCTTCGACCGGAAGAGGTGCGCTCTCGACCCGCGAATCAAAAAAACGTGTTTTCACGTGTCCACGGCCCCCATGGGGGGACCACATCTCCAGTCGTCGGGTTCCTGATGCGTGCAAAACCGTGTGCGGAGGGGGGGGACCCGCCATGCGCCTGGCGCGTGCGCGCCGGCACGTTTTTTCCCGTGCCCGCCTGTCCACGGGGGAACCCATCTTCTGGTCGGCGGAGATTTTAGGCGTGAAAGTCGGTGTGCGGAGGGGGGCTTGGCATCGCTCGGACGTGTGCATTTTTCCTTCGGCGAGGACCATCGAGGAGCATCCTTGATCATGTGGCGAAAAAGCCACGCACGAAACCGACAAAAAAAGCATAGGGAATGGACGTCCGAGCGATGCCCAGGGGGGGAGGGCGCGTGCGCGCGGGGCGGGTGTTTTCACGCACTCGCGGCCTCCGTGGGGCGGGCCCAACTTCTAGTCGTCGGATCCTTTCGATGCAAAAAACGGTGCGGGGAGGGGGGGCCCAATGGCGCCCGGCGCGTGCGCGCGGGGCATTCGTGTTTCACGTGTCCATGGCCCCTCAGGGGGGAGCCCAACTTCTAGTTGGCGAATTCCATGTGTGAAAATGGGTGCGCGGAGGGGAGGGGCCCAGCATGCGCTCGGCGCATGCGCGCGGGGCGGGTGGTTTCGCGTGTCCACGGTCCTGATGGGAGAGCCCAGCTGGGGGCGGATCCAACATGCGCCTGGCGCGCGCGCGCGGGGCGTAGGGGCTCCTGCCCATGGTTGTCTTTGTGTTGGCGGGCCTCTGGTCTTGTGGCTACTATGAGGCCCCAGGGGGGGACCCAACTTCTAGCCGGCGACTTTATTACATTTGAGAACTCGTGTGCGGAGGGGGGGGGACACCCAGCATGCGCTTGGCGCGGGCGCGCGGGGCGCGTTGTTTCAGCCTCCAGGGGTCCATTTTTTAGCCGGCGGATTTCCTCACACGTAAAAGCACGCGTGCGTAGAAGGGGGGGGGGGGGCGAACATGCGCCTGGCGCGTGCGCGCGGGGCACGTCTTTTCACGCGTCCACGGCCCCAGCGGGGGGGGCAGGGGGGTGGGACCCAACTTCTAGTCGGCGGATTCTTTATACTCGCTTGACACGCAGAAATGAGATGTGCGCCGTTGGGGGGGAACCATGATTCGCCTGGCGCGTGCGCGCGGGGAACGTGTTTTAACTTGTCCACGGCCCCTGACAGGGACCAAACTTCGGTCGGCGTTTTTTTTTTTGTGTGCGGAGGGGGGGGACCCAACATGCGCCTGGCGCTTGCGCGCGGGGCATGTGTTTTCACGTAGTTGCGGCCCCCAGGGTGAGATCCAGCTCCTAGTCGGCGGATTCGTTACGCGCAGACATGTTGAGGCGGAGGGGGAGACCCTGGCGCGTGCGCACGGAACACGTGTTTTCGCACGTCCACGGCCCCCATTGTGCCCCCCTTGTTGTCAGCTGCCTCTCTCACCGCCTCACCGCCACGGCCGCCGCTGCTTCTTGACGGGATGCGAAAGTGTCTGGCTGGGAGGGTGGGCACTACCACTACTAGACAACAGGCCGCCACTGGCAAGAGCCACCCGCCACGCTGGCGCCTCTGATCACCTCCTTCTGTTATGATACCTCCCCCTGCCTCCCCCTCCCCTTGCACAGTCGCTGCTAGCCACGAGGGCTCACCAACAGGGGTGGGCTGGCTCGCCACTAGGCGTGATAGCTACTACAGGAAAACACTCGCCATCAGGGCTACCGCCTGCAGCACACGTAGCCCGCGGGGGGGGGGTAGGTATGGTTGGTGTCCATTTCGGCGGGTGGAACGATGTAACGACGCCGCAACAGTTGTCGCCGCCGCATCTGTCTAGAGCTACCGCCACAATCACCCCTCCACTTCTCCCCCCTTCTGTTCTGATTTCTTCCCTCCATTCTCACCCACGCTCTTCTCCATTGAACGCCCTTGCAGGCGCCAGCCACGTGGAGAGTTGGCTAGGCTGGAGGCTACCAGCCTGCATCCATCAACTCGCCTCGCCTGCAGCGTGTCAGTCCCCTATCGGCAGCCGTCTTGCTCAAATGCCGTCACGCGCAGATCCACAGTCTCTGCCGCCAGCATTCTCCATCCTTCTCCATCCTTCTCCATCCTTCTCCATCCTTCTCCATCCTCTTCATGTTTTGACGGCCCTCGGCTCGGCCCCTGAGGCTCTCCTCTTCCTCTCCTCGACTATCTGTCTGCCTGTCCCTTCTACCGTCTCAATGTCTCCCCGCCAGCCGGCGACTCCTGGCGTGGTGCTCCAGAGCCGCCTGGCTTCAGTCGGATCACCCCCCCCAGGGCCGACCGGCCCTGGGGGGGTGGCTCCGTCTGAACGACTGTAAAGCCGACAGGAGCCAGGAACCAGGAGGAGGAGGTGGAGGAGACGGATGAGGAGGAGGAGGAAATGTGGGAGGATAGGTAGGAGGAGGAGGAGGATCGGTAGGAGGAGGAGGATGAGGAGGAGGAAAAGGATTCAGTAATCACCAGTTGCAGGCCAGGCCAAACATATGGAGTCAATCGAAAATCCTGCTCCTCCCTCCTCCCTTCCTGTTTGTCCATGCTCGTCTTCTTCTTCCTCCTCCTCCTCCTCCGTCTCCCTTTCCCTTTCCCTTCACCTCCACCCCAGCGTTCCCGCGCGCGGGGGAGGAGAAGGAATGAGGAGGAGGAAGAGGAATTGTTACCGATGGGGTTGAAGAGCGAGGAGTTCTTGGTTCGAGTGGGTCTGTCTTGGGCATTTGGAAATTTGAACACTTCGCCCAGGCCACCCACAGTCATATTCACTCCGTCATGTGAGTGTTCGAAGCAGGGCCGTGTCCGAATGCGCTTGGGCCAGTCGCCGAGTGGAGACAGTTCGCTGTCATACACGATGGCACGCGCCTCCTCCATCCCCTCGTTCTCCTTCTACCTTCCCCCATTCCGCTCCCCCTCCCAGGTCCCCCCCCACCACCCCAATCCCGCTCCTTCTTCCTCCTCCCGCTCCTTCCCCGCTAAGCTGTGCCAAGCCGAAGGCGGGCTCGCAGCAGATCGTGGGTGGAAAGAGCGTCGTCCTGGAGCCCTTCAAGATGATCGCGGCCAAGTCGGGCTCTATGTCGACTGTGGACGCAGGGGGGGGGGCGAACGCATCCAGCACCACCAAGTCTCCGCAGACGAAGTT